GGCGTTTCTTGGAGGAGTGGAGGTATTTCTAACTGGCTCACCTACACTCATCACCCAGGCTCACTCACCACCAATACCTCATGTTTTTAGATGCCTGCAGGCATCTAAATCACGGGCGGACCCCTGCAGGGGTCGAAGTCTTTGACTGAGACAGTTAGGACTTAGGAATGACTCTCTGCCCGCTACAAACCAGAGTGACCTTGGGAACGTTCCACAGCCTCCTGGGGTCTGTCTGTCCACCACGATGTCACAGGGTCCACCTTCCAAAAACCATACAGACAGGGCTTCAGATACAAACACATGTGACTAAACAGCCTCGCTACTTGTGTCCAGGTTACACCTGTCCTGTTAAACATCCGCTTCCTTCTCGTCTTTGAAAGTTCTCCACTGATTCTGAGACTTTTCAACACTATTCCCGTACAGTGATTCTGGCTCTAAACTCAACTGGTGTGACGAGCCAGGACAGGGTGATTCTGGGGACAATACGCTATCAGGGAGCGGGCCGTAAAATGATATTAACTACTAGCCAATAATGACTAACATTTGTCTTAGGTTGCCACGCGCACTTTTCCAATCATTTTGCATGAATAATCTCATTGAAATCACAATTTTTTCTTTTACTCAGGAAGAAAGCGAATCGCAGAAAAGTTAATTGACTTGCTTAAGGCCACACAGCTAACAAGTAGCAGAGCACAAAAAAAGGAAAAGTGTGGCTTTTGAGGAAAGACCTGGAGAGTTTTGTTATATCCAAACACATGAGGCTGTAGGAGACACAAAAGAATAGAAATCCAGGCCCCACTCCCCGGAGTTGACCTTCTAACAGAGAGGACATAAACGAAGCAGAAGTCACTAACTTAATGCAACCGGTGTTTATTGAGAACATGCTATGTGCCCGTCATTCTGGGTACTGGGGAGACAGCAGCCTCACGGAGCATGTAGTGTATTGGGGAGACAGACAGAAACCAAATAAAAGAGCGTTATAAAGAAAAATGGCATGAGACAAGTGCTGAATTGTTTTATAGAAGGTGATTCGAGAAGCTTCCTCTGCGACAGTAATAGCAGTGAGACAGTACATGCTTGGGAAAAAGCAGCCGTTTGCAGGAGTCTGGGCTGGCCCATGGGACCCTGGGGGCTGGGCACCTGTGTCCCACATGGGCCGGACAGCAGAGCGGGAGAGGGGCCTGTTCCGGCCAAAGGGATCGGAGTGGGCACGCAGGGCTGGGCAGGGTGCCGGTGAGAGGGGCCAGCGGCTCCATGCCCACCACACAGCACGGGGGCGGGAGGGAAGGGAGAAGAGTTTGGAAATGTACATGTGTAGGAAATGCTGGAGAAGGACAGGTCTTCTACCACCTAATGTCTCTCATGCTAGACCTTGACCCCTCCTCCTCCTGCGTTTGTCGAGGCTCAGCCTCCAGTCCGGTCTCAAACTATAGTCACAGGGATGTTCTCAAAAAGGCAAACGTTCTCATCTATGAGCCTCAGCTGCCTCCAAACTCCTTCATAGACTGGGTATCATTTTTGGGAGGAAGGGGCAGACTCCTTCACTATGGTGTCTGGGGCCCTCCGGGTCCAGCCCCACCTGCCCTCCATGCCTCTCTCTCCCTCAGACTGCTCAGCCTCCAGGAGCCCTCCCTGTACCTGCCAGGGACCAACTGCCCTGAGGAGGGGGCATTTCCCCCGGCCTTTGTCCCCACCGGGTCTCTGCAGGGGCTGCCCCAGCCCAGCTGCCCAGCTGCTGCCAGGGCCGAGCTGATGAGAGAGCCAGGGGGCAGCTCCACCCCCCCCCTCTAGTGCAGGCAGCCCTGCCCCCTCCACCCACTCTCCCTTCCCCTCCCTCCTGCCCCAGCTTGCAATCTGTGCTCCTCTCAGCCCCGCGGGACTTTGCAGAGAGGAGAGCCTCTCTCTAGGTGTGGGTTCCTGGACTGATTTTTATCTGTTGCTTTGCTGCCTTTCTTTAAATTGTGTTCAGCAGAGACCACAATTCCCCGTCTGTGTGCCCCGTCTCGGAGCCTGCTTTCACTATGAGGTAGAAAACGTCTATATGCATTTTCTTCTCCTCTTCCCAACCCCCACAGCATTTGAAAAAAAATTATCTTTCATGCTAGAGTGCAAATCATGCTGTTATTGGTGTTTCCTGAGCTTGGAATGTTTTCTTGGCTTTCCATTCCTCTTGCCTGCCAAGCACACTTGACCTGTGGAAACGTAAAGGTCACGCCAGCACTAGCCAGTCTCCTCTAAGCCACCTCATTTGCCCCAAGCACAGCACACAGTCTCAGGAGAGGGGGATGGTATGAGGGGAAGGAGCAGAGGCCTGTAAATATGGCAGCAGGGTTCCTGGCCTCCAAGCAGAGCTGCAGATTAATTGTTAAACCAGAAAGCGCCCTAAGGGAAGACAGACACAGCTTTCAGGTACCTTTGATCACAGATTTAGTGACCCAAAGACTAAATCTAGGGAGACAAAGGAAAATACTTTTCTTCCGGGGAACCAGGAGCTAATATGGTGGTTTATAGCGCGTTGACAATGGCAAGAAAATGTTAGACTAATGTTATAACAATTAACTCCATTTCTGAAAGGCATTTGCACAAAACAGCATTCATTTTCCTAACCAGGATTTAACAGACTGATAAAAGTTGACCTGCTTGGCAGATGAATGTTTTAGATGTCAAGCGTTCTTTCATCTCAGGCAACCCACTGGAATCACCAGGGCTTGGACCAAATTAGTCAAGGGGTAGAGGCCAAGCATTAATGGATTTTAAAAGCTCCCCAGGCGATGCTAAAGGGCAGCTACAGTTCAGAACAACAAGTGTAAAAAGTCAGAACGGTCAAAGATCGTTAGTACCCAGTGCATTTACTACTGAGCAGGAAACGGAGCCTACCGTGTGCCCTACCACTCTTCCTTGCATCGGGCCTGAATGCTTTCCCCAGGAGGTGGGCTACTTCTCAAAATGGCAGGCCAGGAGTCTGGAAGGAGTGCGTTCTGTCACATCACATCTTTAATTTTACCTAAACCACTGCCCCGCTGACTTCCGAGCAGGGCATGGGAATGCCCTGCTCCTTCCACAGCACAAGTTCCCTTCCCAAGTTTCTCGTCCAGGTGTCTGGAGTCAGAGCTGGGGTCGCTCCCATTCCAACCTACCCCTGAGGCTTCACCGTGGCCTTTTCATTCCTCTGCCCCTTAACCCCCAAAGACCCTACAGATATTTGTTTTGCCTAATTTCCTGGTCCTGCATAAACAGCAAATAACGTTAATAGCAAATCTTAATTCTTAAATGGCATTCTGTGAGTTAGAGCTTCTCTTCTGGCTAAAAGGTGAGTACAATATTTTATCTTAGTGTGAGACTAAAATTGATCAATCAAAACACATGTATTGAATGCTCAGGTGCATTGAAAGGCAAGGGCAAAAAACGAAGATGTACAATATATAAGATCCCCAGGGATCTTACCATCTAGACCAGGTGGGTGACAAACTATAGCACCTACCCTGCCAAATCTGGCCCCCTCCTGTTTGCGTAAATGAGGTTTTATTGTAACACAGCCATGCTTTAAAAATATATATATATAATAGTTCCTGCCTCTAGGAGGCGCACTGTCTACTGACCTGTCCATCACTCCTGAAAATAAATGAGCATCTGAAACGAAGCCCATGGAAAGGAGAGGAAAATGGTTGAGGCTGGACAGCTCCATAGGTCACTATTGTAAAACTGCCTGCAAACCATACAGGTGGATTCTAAGCTGAAGGGGGTGAAGAGGAGAAAGGGGCAGGCCTTGGCAAAAAAATGGAAAAGAAGAAGTGAAAACCCAATTCATGGACAATGGAGCAGCGAGCAGCAGGTGGGCTGCCTCCCAGTATATTGAAGTGAGGGGAAGAGGCATGATTTGTTCACCATTTGTCTTCCACGCTGAACTCCAGGTTGTATGAGGGTGCGGGCAGTGTTTATGTTGTTCACCTCTATTGCTAGAATTAAGCAACACGCTTGCCAAAGAGTAGCTGCTTGGTGAATACTACTTAAAGAATTAAATGTTAGATGAATAAATGGATGTCTTGGATATAAGGTCAGATATATTATAAACCAGGCAAGCAAAGCATTTCAACCATGATCTCTGATGTTACCTTGAAACGAAAGGGTGCATGGGGAGATAAGAAAGCTAGTGTGTATTGAACTACTCCTACACAACAAGCCTTTTACAAACCTTACATCATTTCATTTTCTTAGCCCCTCTTTATTTTATGTATGGAGAAACTGAGATTTGAAGAGGTTAAATAACTGGCCAACAACACACAGCCAGAAAACAGCAGTCAGGATCTGACCCAAGTCTTACTTTGTCTTGGATTCTCAGATTCAAGGCTATCACACACGGCCATGCCTACCAGTCACTGTCACGCCATGCCCTCCACCCTATCAGGGACATCGAGACCAGTTTGGTAGCAGTGGGGACCAAGAATACAGACTCCCACCCAGCTTCCAGCAAGGCAGTTCTCATTTTATCAGAGCTTCATCATCAGAGTTCATCAGAGTTTCCTGATTTCATCCAGCTAGTTCTTGCAGGAACAAAAAGGAATTGGAAACCGCTGTTCTGCACCGCGCTGCTTCCTAAACTAACGCCGCCGCTCATCTCCTGAAGGGTGATGGTCAGTCACTTCTTTCCGGTCTTACACAAGGAAGACTGGGTGACCATGCTGAAGTCCTTTTATGCCTCTTGACTTTCCAGAGAGAAGATTAAGTGAAAATATCATTTAATGAATGAAGATGGCTAGACCACCTTGAATGAAATTCTAGATAATTCCATCAATGGCAACAAAGAGGGGAGTGTGATTAGCTTCCAGGTAGACCCTCAGTGACTCGTGGCCGGATGCCTAGGCTGATGCCTGCCCAGAACGTCTAACGCTAGGACTTGAAAAGCAAAGAGCAGCCGATCTCATGACCTGACCTCCTCGTAACCAGCACATGACAGGATACAGGGCCCTTAGTAAACAGTCCACAGAGACTCATCCACTTACCCATAGAGATGTAACACATGAACATACTGATTCTCGAAGAATTCGTAACTGGAAGCAATGCTGCCCTCCTCTATGGTTTGACCGTTTTTATACCAAGTTACCTCTGGCTTGGGCTGACCTGAGGGTATAGGAATGAGAATATTCTTATTACATGACGTATTTTTACCAAAGAGACTCATAGAGCTATAAACAAGAATGGGTAACAATGGATAAGTCCTCAGGGGCACTGGAAAATCTCCCTTTTATTAATAAGAGCGCATCATTCAAGAAGCACTCCCGGGCACGCTATCTGCCGACCGTGTGCTGCGCAGGGCTGGGGCGTTCACTCGCACCTCTAGGAGCTATTAAGGGAAATTATCTAAAACTTGGAAATAAGGCAGAAATGTGAGTAGTATCTTCTTTCAATGTCATATGGGGGCAAAGGTCTACCTAAGAATTATTGAGGGGGATGTACTTAATTTCATTCAATAATTACTACTGAGTAAACTTCCAAGCGTTTGTGAAGTCACATGTAAACTTGGAGATTTTCATCCAATAGACCTGCAAATAATCTCTATCTGGAAGGAAAGAACCCCATCAGTGACGGTTCATTACCTTGAAGGGCGTTGACCGATGTTTTACCTAACCCGGCAGTCGTAACCTAACATTCCTTTAAGAAATGGTCTCTGAATACCTGATCCCTCAAATGTTCCTGGAGCAGGCCTTAACACTTTCTGGTTCCCTTTTTTTTTTTTTCAAAGAGTTCAAATAAAATCTTTGAAACGCTCATTTCATATTTGCACAGGAGTCACTTTATCTTTCTGAAAATTATACTCATATAGTGCTTAGAGGTAAGCGCAAGTTATGATGCAAAAGAGAGAACCAAGTGGATTCGCAAGTGCCATGGGATGACGGGGTCTGGCCTGCAGAGTTCCCTGCTTGGCAGGCTGTCGCGGTGCCTACATGACTCGGCTCATCCCAGGAAGTGACCTCCGCTTCCTCCCTCAGAAGGGGTTCCTCTTCCCTGGGGACCATCAACCAGAGGTAATGCTAATAGGCTAATGTGGAAGGGCCCCAGGAAGTCCTTTCACACTTTGGGATTTCTACCCACCCCCCCACCCCCTTGTGACGGGGCAGGAAGGTTTCCAGTATGTCCCAAAGGGCTTTCTTAGGAGCCTCCACATCATTGAAAAGGCATCAAAATGCACTAGGTATATAGGAGAAAAGCCTGGCATTTGGAAAAACACCCTGTCCTTAATCCCTCCTAGGAACATTCTTGTGTGTTCTGTCTTACATATCTCATGATTTTTGGAAAGCAACCCCAGAGGACCCGAAGAGAAGAACGCCATGTTCTTCTGGGGCTGCACCGTGGAGGGACCTGGGGCCACAGAGGGCCCACCTCTCCCTGTCCGCGGCTCATCTACTCTGGGGTCCCCCAGCTACACTGCCTCTGTGCCAACACCAGGAATGTGTCCCTCTTAGGCGCGTGTCCCTCTTAGCCTCCCCCTCCACATAGGCCCTGAAAAATCAGTCCCGGGAGCCGCCCGGCAGACAGGCCCGCATGCAAGGACAAGCCCTTCTCCAGCAGCTGTGTGGCTAAGTCTCTTTCAGACAAATGACTAACCCACCAGAAATGAGCTTCCTTGAAAAGCCATTGAGGTGCTGATCATCACTCATTTCTGCCCATTCTGATCGGCCTGTGTGCCCCTTTCAGACTGTTTTATTAGAGTCCTTCTTAGGGAGCATTTAACTGCTCTTTTTGTGTGTGCGCGTGACCTTTTTGAAGACAGTACACACGAGCGGGGCCTGGGAATTCGCCCTGATCTCAAGGATAGTGATGTTTCAGGCAGCTCAGGGCTCAGTGACTCTCCCAGCTTCTTCATGGCCGACTGGTTTTTTCCCTTGGGGCACAGATCTGAATAATCAGCCAGAAATGAGACTTGCACAGGGAAGTGGTATCTGGTACCTTGTGGGTGGTTTCTTTTTTTTCCTCCCAAACCTTTCCCCCCAAAATTCTACCCTTGTTTTTCAAGCCTACCTGCTGCAGGTTACAGATTGAGAGCCACCTTCACTGTTTCACAAGTGTCTGGGGACAAGTAATCGCGCATAGGGGACGCCCAAACACTGGGGCTTCCTGGGGAGACCAGGGGGCCCTACTCTGAAGGCTAGGGAGTGGGGGTGTGCCTGTCCCTCTATCTGAAGGGCTACAGACACACCCTGACAAACAGAGGGGCTCAGCTCTGGGCTCAGAGAGGCTGAGTACACATTCTGTACTCCCGCAACCAGACTGATGACCGGATGTTATTACAACTTCGGCTAAGGAAGCACTGCCCTGTCCCAGGCTGGTGCTCTCTCTGGGCTTAGAGAAAGGGATCGAGGGAGAAGAGGTTTCTGTCTGCTCTCAGGAAACCCCACTGGGGCCGCCGAGGTTTCAGGAATGGAGCCATAACCCCAGTAAGACAAGGTACAAGATTCCACTTTCCTGCCCAATTATCTTCTGTTTTCTTTTCATAAGTAAATCCTTTTCACCTCTGGGGATACAAATTCTGAGGCTCTGGGCTATTTGTCTTCCAAGCCAGGGGCAACCCCGGCACCAGCTTGTCCCCCACTAGCACCTGTGCCTGGGTTGTAACCTTTCACTGCTGACTAGCACGCTGGAGGGAGCCAAGCAGCAGGAACACAAATTTAGCCAGGTTTGGGATACCAATAAAAGAACAATGGGAGAGGAGTTCAATACATTGTCTGCAGTGACATTATTCATGCCATTCCTATGATGGCACAGGAAGTTATAGGTGGATTACCTAGAAAAAGGACCAGTGTGGAAGTTGCCTAACTAAGTACCACAACATGAAGTAAGGTTCACTAAAAGGTATCCAGAAAGTGACTCGAAGAAATCCTTTAGAAAAAAAAATCATAGAAGATTAACTCGCTCAACTGGCTACTTAGAATAAACTTCCCAAGTAATTTTCCCAAATGATGTTTCAATCATGCCTTTGTAAACCAAACAATCTGATCGGCAGGGAGACTTCAGAGGGTGACATGCTAGTGATGGTTACCAGATATTATGCAGCGAAGCACAGTGTCTGACTTCTCAGGAACTTTCTGGGAAAGCAACGTAGACAAGAAACAAAGCGGGCGCCTCGGGGGCCCTCCTGAGTCTGTCATCCTCTCATGCCATGTGAATCTGAAAAATAAAAATCCCCAGCATTACCATTCTCTCTGGATCTTCTCTGGCCTTCCCAGGAGTTGGAGAAACGGAGAAGGAGCGAGCATGGTGTTGTGCCCTGGGGCTTTTATACAAGGCAGGAGCTGGTGCTCACACCAGTGGGCAGGGTGGGCTGCGTCTCTCTCAAAGGCATGGGAATTCCCCTCGGCTGTGTTTAAGCCTCTCCTAGGGACACTGCTCTTCAGGCACTCCCCAGGGGACTCAGCTCTGCACCAGCACCAGCAATACCTGCACTAGGTGGGAGCCTGGGAAGCAAGGAGCGCCCTCTGCGCCTGCATGCAGAGCCCAGCCCTCTGTGAGCCAGCGGCACAGGGGCCGCTTGCTGGGGAAGCCTTGCTTTCCTCAGGGTGCGCTCCCTTGATTCATCAAGCTCCTCCTTTTCTCCTTCCCCTCCACCTTGTTTTCAGTAGACCTCTTCTTGTGACTCTGTTTTGCCACCTCTCTTAATTTCTCTCCTGAGAGGGGTCAGGAACCCCACTCACTGGTGACCCTTGGACAGGCTTTCTCACACACGCCACTGCTGATGCAGGGACCGGGTGCTTTGTGGCAAGGTCTGTCTTGTGCACTGTAGCATGTGTGGCCAAATCCCTGGCTACACTAGTCAACCTATCAGATTCCAGTAGCAGCGCCCCCCACCCCAAGTGGCGATAATCAAAAATGTCTGTAGACATTGCTAATGTCCCCAGCGGAGGGGTCAGCCCTGATTGAGAACCCCAGACTTGCCCAGACAAGGAGGGTTGGGGGGCAGGGAAGAGGCTTTCATGACTGGAAAACTCTCCTGCCCAGCAAGCAGCATAGGACTGCAGACCAAACCCAGGCTTTGTCACTTGCCAGGGACAAATCTACACCCAGCTCTGTCGCTTACCTAGTTGCGGTACTGAGCCTGGTTCCTCATCTGTAGAGGAAAATAATGATAATGTTCTAAGAATTAGAATAATGTATGTCAATGGTTTTCCAAATGGCAATCATTAGATTACGAAGAAAGACTTCACTTGTTTCAATTTCCTTTTCAGCTGTGGGTTACCACAATGATTTTTTTTTTAAGTGATTGACCAATTAATGTTGAAAAATCTCACCTGGTACAACAACCCTCTGTAATAATAATTTACAAGATATGACTTCTTCTGTCCCTACCCTCAGAGTCCACCACTGTGGATGGAGAGGGAAGAAAGGACAAATCGAGCTGTCAAGAACTGGTGTGACACTGAGGACCTTATGTGTCATCTATGACTCCTCCCCAGGTGACTGCTTCCTGACAGAGAGGTCCCACAGGTTACAACTCTGACGAACACACCAGTTGACTCACAAAGTTGGGTCAGTCACCAGAGGCACAGGGCGCTGACTATAAAGGAAAGAACAGTTAAGTCAGGCGTGTTTCATGTTTCGTGGCTCCTTGGAAGGTGAGAACCCATGAGGACAGATTTATCATCCTCTGCTAGGGATGGACAACCGACGTTGAGTTACTGACACTAGGTGAAGGGGCCGTGGTGAGGTTCACAGGCGACCTTGGAGAGAGAACGTGTTAACTACAAAGATGGCAATATTTGTGAGTTTTTGTTTCTCAGGTGTGTGCTTTCTTTACCTTTGCCCTGGCTAGGTAGCTCAGTTGTTTGGAGCATCGTCCTGTACACCAAAATGTTGTGGGTTTGAGTCCCAGTCAGGGCACATACCTAGGCTGCAGGTTCGATCCCTGGTCGCGGCACCCAGGGGAGGCAATGGACTGCTGTTTCTCATATCAATGTTTCTCTCCCTGACCCTTCCTCTTTCTCTAAAATCAATAAAACATATCCTCAAGTGAGGATTTTAAAATTTACCTTTAATTATATAAATTTGAAATGCATGCATTCGTATTCTTTTAAAAAACATGTAAAGGTAAAGTCTTCCATAAGCACTATCCCTCATCTCATTACTTTTATCCCTCATCTCATTACTTTCCCAAGAGAAAGTGTTTGCTGTCCTTTCAGGCATCTTTCTCTCCATTTACGTATATAAGCATGAACTGTATATACTTATCATGCAGTTGGCTTGTCTTATTTAATAGTCCGTCTTGGCAGTCTTACAAGGTCAAGCCAACCCATAAAGGGCTGCATCATTTTTTAAAAACTGCTCAATGATATCAGTGCTGAGTGGCATGGCAATACCGCACTTAACCCATCTGTTCTTGTGATGATGATGTATGTCTTGGCTGGAGTTTTTTAGACTGACAAATGTGTCTCAGAGGACAGCGAAGTACATGCCTCTTTGGGCACATAAGTGGTTCTTTAGATGAACTACCTGGAAATGGAGTTGCTGGGTAAAGGAATATTCACATATTGCTTTTTTTAAATTATTCTTTTTAAAGATTTTATTTATTTTTAGAGAATGGAAGAGAGAAAGGGAAACATCAATGTGTGGTTTGCTCTTGAGTGCCCCCTACTGGACACATGGACCACAACCCATACATGTGCCCTGACTGGGAATCAAACCAGCGACCCTTTGGTTTGCAGGCCGGCACTCAATCCACTGATCCCCACCAGCAAGAGGACACATATTACTTTTTGACAGAGACTCCAAATTGGACAGAGCCTTTAACACAATAGCAGAAGGATGTAGTGAGGAAGGGCCCAGATTCCTGGGTTCCAATCTTAGCTCTGCCACTTACTAGCTTCTCTTCACTCTGCCTCAGTTTCCTCATCTGCAAAACTAAGAGAGTACCAGTAACAACTGCATTTGACTATTAGGAAGATGAAGGGAATATGTATAAAGCTCTTCTGAATAGCATAGTAAGCACTATATAGTGTTAGCTGCTATCAGGAGCTTTGGGTTTAACATCAGCAAAATTACAAAAATATCTTCCTCTCAAACTGGAGGAGAACAGGGAGGACTTTATGGGAGAATCCTTTGAACATTTAAAGCTCCCGGTTGAAGCCAGGCTTTATTTTGGCTAATCTGCCCCCACGCAGACAGCAGGTGGCGTGGCTGCTGTCAACTGAAGGGGTCGGAGAAGAGCTCTCAGCTACATGCAGGTGACGGTAACCAGCTCTTCTGGATCCCCAGCTGTCTGAGTGCCTTCTCACTGGGGACAGGAGGGATTAGTTCTGATTACCCAGCCTAATCCAATGGCATTTGGGTTCCAAATTTGCCATGTGAGTTACTATAGATTTGGGTGCCACGCCCACTGCCACTTAATACCAGTCCCATACTAGTTAGGGGAAAAGTACCCTCCCAGAGAGAGGTTCTGGAAGTGTTGGGGGGTGGGAGGAGGGTGGAAGACCAGGCAGGGAAAGACAGCTACCGGGTCTGGGTTCCATTTCTGTGTCAGCCCCCAGGCTGTGCACTTCGTAGACATCATGGCATTTAATCCTCAGAGCTAACCTACCGGGGAGGTGTTCCTTCCGTGTCACAGACAGTGACTTGGAAGCTTAAGGCAACTTTAATGGGTTGATGTAACAAACCTAATTCCTTCCTGCCTGTAGGTGCCAGGGCTGGGGAAAGAGTCCAGGTACTGGAGCTCCAGCGAGGTGCTCTTTCTTGGGTATGATTTTAGGGTTGCATGTGAGAAACAGAGGCAAGGAAATAAGCCCTTATAAAGATGCTCCACATCACTAGTCATTATGGAAATGCAAATGAAACCACAATAAGAGAGCATTTCACACCCACTAGCCTGGCTGTCATAAAATCGCCAAATGTGGGTGAGGACGTGGAAAAAAACACCCCTCAAACAGGGCTGGTGGGAATGTAAAATGGTACAGATGCTTGGGAAAACAGTTTGGCAGTTTCTTAAAAAGTTAAACATATGTAAAAAGACCCAGAAATTCCACTCTTAAGTATGCACTCAAGAGAAATGAAACCATATACCCACACAAAGACTTGCATACAAATGTTCTTAGCGGGGTTATTCATAATTACCAAAAATTGGAAATAACCTAAATGTCCATTGGAAACAATCTGAATGCCTAACTAGTGAATAGATAGACAAAATACGGTATAGCCCTACAATGGAATACCATGGAATATTAAAAAGAAACAAGCTAGGATACATGGTCCCCCATGGACAGACCTCAAAAACATTGTCATTTCTACACACAGTAAAAGAAGCCAGGTACAAGAGACCACGTGTTATATGGTCCCATTTATGTAAAATGTCCAAAGAGGCTGCAGAGCCCAAAAGTAGATTAGCAGTTGCTGGAGGTGGAGGCAGTGGGAGAACATTAATTAACAATGAATGCGCACAAGGGGTCTTTCTGGGGTGATGAATTCTAAAACTGATCTACAGCGATGGTTGCGCATCTTGACCAAATTGCTAAACACATCACTGAACACTTACCCAGGATGCAAAGTATACCTCAATAAAGTTAATTTTTTAAATAGAGAAAGAAGGAGAAGACATTTAATAAGCACCTATTCTATTCCTGGCAGCATTGTTGTGAAAGCAGAAGCTTGGAAGTCACCTAAATGTCTCCCAATAGGAATTTAAAAAACAAAATAATAGAAACCTAGTTACAGTATATCTATACAATGGAATTTTTCATTTTTAGTAGCACTTGGTATTAAAAAATAAAGCCTGGCTTCAGTCGGGAGCTTTAAATGTTCAAAGGATTCTCCCATAATGTCCTCCCTGTCATTCTACCCTCCCTGTCATTCTACCCTCGCCAGGTGACTCAGCTGGTTGGAGCATCGTCCCATAGACCAGAAAAGGTTGTGGGTTCAGTCCCCCATCAGTGCACCTACAGGGTAGGGGGAAACTGATTGATATTTCTCTCTCACATCCATCTCTCTTTCTCTCTGCCTCCTCCCCCTTTCCTCTCTCTCTAAAAATCAATAAACATTTCCTTGGGTGAGGATTAAAAATGAAAATAATAATAATAAAGCAGTACTGTATGCACTGATATGGAATAGTCTCCAAGATAAATGGATAAGTGAGATGAACAAAGTATAGAAGAGAGTGTAGAGTATGCTATCACTAGTATAAGCAAAAA